AAGACCCTTTTGAGTCAAGAGAAAACTCCAGTTTTTAAGAAAATGGGTGCTTACCAATTAATTATTAGTCAATCTATACGATAAATCAACTTTAGATTATTTAATTAATCAATAACTTGCATCCCTAAATTATACGGGAATGAAATGAATTAATATCTACTCATATTCTTGTAACCAAGCATTTTAATGGTTTGGCCGATTAATCGAAAAAATAATCGACAGAATAATCAATTATTAAAATAATCATTAGTTGCAGCCCTACAAATTATTTCAAAATAACATGCAATCGCTTCTGATACAAAAAATTATATACTTGTGGTTGTTTACATTAAAAGTTGTGCGTTTCTCCTTTTCTTCCGTCTCCTTCGTTCTGCCAGATGGGAGCGGCGAGTGGACGATCGGGGCAGGATCTATTACGTAGACCACAACACCCGCACAACAACGTGGCAGCGYCCCACCATGGAGTCTGTGAGGAACTTTGAGCAGTGGCAGAGCCAGCGCAGCCAGCTGCAGGGAGCTATGCACCAGTTCAACCAGAGATACCTCTACTCTGTAAGACACTGCACCAGTTCACACGAACCGTAAACCACCTTTTATTTAACCTACAGCCGAGTATTTAGAGTCAGCTTTACTGTGGAAAACGGAGAAAACGCTGAGTAAAAAAAWTAGCGAGTGCTGAACTCTAGACTGAACTAACAATATTGATTCAACTTTTCTTCATCTCTGAAAACTGGCAACCATTCCGTGTCTGTCCATTACTGRAGGTGATTATTCTCTTGAAAAATTTAAAACTGGTCTTCTCCTTGGGGGATAAAAAGGTCAGTTTATGTCACTGTTCCAGGACAYGACAACATAAACTGTTTCTGTAAGAAAAAGAAAATCTGCAAAAATACACTTTCCAGTTTATTTGATCAGTCCTGATTTTAGCTCTTAAAATTCCTGTCTTGACTGTTGGGAGGTATTCAATAGTGAATTGAAGTTATTTATTTAATTTATTTACTTTTAATTAGACAGGTGRTCTCATAGAGACAGGTAGTCTCATTTAAAAGAGGAACTTGTAAATTAAAGGCATAAATATTTTGCTGTAGGTAGCTCCCATTTTAAGTAGTTTAGTGGCTATAATAAGTTATTATATTGATTGACTATGACAAAACTTTTAACTTTAAAGTGCATCTTACCCCCCTGTGAAAAGATAACTCCGCCCCAAGGCGAAATTTGAAAAATGCATCAAAGTGGGTAGGGAGGGGGGGGTGGGTGAGCGGAGGTGTGGCCAGGACGAGAGAATGCTAGCATTAGCATAATTGATGCTACATGGAGAGTGGCCACAGCGACGCATATAGTTACATCTCTAAATGGTCTGAAGTGAAGGATTTTTCACCCCCCCTCCTCACCAGAGGCAGAGAGAGACTTGATCAAGTCAGCTCAGTCTGGGACTGACTCATGTAGCGCAGCAGTCAGCTCTCCCCACCCGAGGCTGAAGGTCAACAGACGATCATGCTAAGCTTGCTAACTGTTCCACCCTCTGACTGCTGCAGGGGCGTGTCTTAGAGAGAGGCTTTTATACCAGAACACAGCCGCTGTGACGAAACTGTGGAGAAGACACGTCACAGTGCAGAGCCGTTAACCAATATGCAAATTAGCCTGCAGTACCATTTGAACAAATACGCACAAAAACATCAAAATTAGCACAGAAACAGTACTATATAATATTTTAGACACATTCTAGACAGTTTATCAGCTAAAAAAAAGTTAATTTTGGGGTAAGTTACTCTTTAATTGTGTAATTGAATTGAATATTTGTTAAGAGCCTCTTGATGGCTAAATAACTACATTAGTTTTAAAGTAATGTGTTAAATAGAAATGAATACAATTTTATCTTTAAATTGTAAATTAGCTCAYTTTACCATCCCAGTATTTGCCTCCAGTGTGTTATCTGCAGTCGTTTCTTCAAGTCTTTCATCTGCAATGATGTCGTCTTCAGACGATGACGAGCTGACAGAGGAAATGAAGATAAACCTCTGAGCAGTGTTACATGAAACTCACTTTCTGGAAGCACACACTTTCCTCGTCTCTCTACGTTTCACTGTTGTCCATGTTTGAAAAAAGGAGGATATAATGAAGTCATCGTGTTCATCTCTCATTTTCAGGCGTCCATGATGTCTGCAGAGAACGACCCTCTTGGTCCTTTACCTCCTGGTTGGGGTAAGTTCACACTCTCTCTTTTGTCTGTTTCATTTAAAGCTTAATTTAAAAATAGGGCTGGGCGATATGGCCTAAAATCAATATCACGATATACTGACCAGTTCACCTCGRTAATGATAAATGTACGATAACTCTTACCACCCCCCACCACACACAAGTACACGCTATAGTATAGTCAAATACACTGTGTCCATGTTCTTAGTCAAAGTACACAGTACTTTAGTACTTTAGTATTCTCTAATAAAACACTATACAAAAGTTTTAACCTGAACCATTTGGACCAAAGGAAGGAAGAGTTTGATTTTGAACAGCTTTTCTG